TGCGTTGAGAGGTTGGTCGCCCACGGTGGTGATGGACTGCCTGGTTTGTTTCTCAAAAAATTATTTTTTTTTTTTTTTCCCTTTTGGGCTGAAATGCACAGATCTACTTGAGTCTCTCAACTTCCTGCTTTAAAACTGGATTAAACACCATTCCTTCCCCTCCTCCTGTCTTAAATGCAGGTGCTAGGGTACAGTATTTTGTGTATGTAGCAGTGTGGGTTTTAAGTATCAAGGGAAAATTTGTTCTGGAGGAGGCTGGCTGCAGAGCGTCTATCTATTTTCAGGGAGAAAACTGTATTTTGCTTGTTAAAGGTGGAAATTAAATTGGATGGTGGTGTTGGACACAGATATCCACCCCATTTAGGAGCTAAACTCAAGACACCAAACTTAATGCCAGACAGTACAATGTTTTCATGAAGACATTGAATTGCAGTGTAAGGTGGGAGGGGGGAAAGACAGAAAGAAAGAAAGAAAGACAAAGCCAACAAAACTGTAGATATGATCATTTTAAAGATGTTTGTACTGTTATTTATTTCCTCACACCTTCATGCCACAGAATAGTAAAGCCCAAATCAGTATTAAGTGTAGATCTTATCCAAGGATCACATAGGGATCAACAAGAATAATAGCTGGTGTTTTGTACATTTTTAACCTATAAAGGAGAGTTGAAGGTGTTGTGCTATCTTGTGTACAATGGCAGAATATGCTTAAAAGGTGGTCACTTCTGTTGGTGGGAAGACTCACTGAGCAAAAAAATTTTAATGGTTGGTTGGCTGGATCTCGGTTTGAAGCTAAGCCAAGGAAAAATAACTTTGTCCTTAGCCCTGAGAAAGGAATGCAAGTACTTATTTTTTATGTGATGATCTTATCCCTCCTTCATCTGATTTGAGCTCTATAGTATGTAGAAGCTTTAGAAATGGCAACCAAAGCTATAGCTGGCATAAAACTGATTTTAGGAGTGACTTGCAAGTGCTACTGCTTTGGCAGTTCTCATGCAGGGTTTTTTAACACTTGTGGGAAGTTTTCTACTGAACATTTGTAAACTGTGCTGGGGCACTTGGCGCTGCTTAAATTACATCTAGTGAGCATGCCTAATATATAAAAAAGCACCACCAAAACTAGACAAAAAAACTCAAACAAACACACACAACCCTGGCATTTTCATGATAGTGACATTTCTTCACTAGATCATGTTTTTTACTAATTCTGGCTTCTGCTGCCCTTGCATGCTTTTGATAGTACATGTGAGTGATACCACTGACATGTGAGACCTCTGAAATAACTGCTTGATCCCTCAGCCATGGAAATCAATAGACTTCAGTGTTGTGGTCTCAGACTATAATTTGCTGTGCTGAGTGACTAAGGGGATAGACAGTAATAAACCCATTTCAAATATTTTTTTGGACATATTTATGAAATTAAAGTCAGGCTTTCCTGAAATTAGACGTCTTGCAATTTTTTTTTTTACCCTATCCTTCAGAAATGGTAGTAAAATGCACGTGTTCTTGGTCGCACATGCATTTGACTACTGTTTCTGAAGACAATTTTTTGAAGGTCATAATCTGTGACTTGTTAGAAGGTTCACTTCTGTGGTAACTTTTTTTTTTTTTTTTTTTTTCTGTAGACGATTTTCTGACCCATTTGGCTGGAGGGTTTATGCTGGGATTCTGAATCAGAATGAGATGCTCTTAGGAAAAGGATACAGAGTGCAACAGATAATTTCCCATCCAGATTATGATACAGATTCTAAAGACAATGATGTTGCCCTCATGAAGCTAGAGACACCCCTGAGTTTTACTGGTATGTATGCTACTCTTAAGGCAAAAGTCCAATGGCAATGAGTACACATCTTAAAACTTCCAAAGTTTATCAAGAAATCCTTGTAGATTATGGGAAGAATGTAAAATGTGGGTAGAGACACCTTAAAGACAGGGTAGAGGTAGAGAGGCACACCCTCTGATTTTCTCAGTGGGATTTATTTAAATCTAGTGCATGATAAGGGAGTTTGGGCTCATCTCAATAATTTACTTTTATGCCAGAATGCTGTATGGTGCTTAAATAGTGTCATTGCTATATGTGCAGACTCAGGATTTAGGGTGGAGCAAGCCCTAAGTAAACCCTAAACTGAGTTACATCAAATAACAACTGGGAAAAAAACCCGAAACCAACCCCAAACCCAAACATTACAAGAAATTCCTTTCTTAAAAGTAGATGCAGGTTGTTTGTAAGCAAGCAGTAAAAAACAGAGGACAAAGCATTATTTAAACTCAAAGTGCTTCTTGTGTACAGGTCCTTTATATTTCAGTGGGTCAGTTTCAAGATACTAGAAGTAATCTGGAGGGGCTTTTCTGCTGCTGAGAGCAGGGAGGTGGTCTGTTGACCAGATTTTTGTTTCACACTTATTGTGTATAGGCATTGAATCCTGCTTGCATTGTGATTATTTTCAGCAGGCTTTTGCAAAGAGGATGCAGAAGAGGTAGTTGTCAGAAGTTTTTCTTTGTCCTCTACTGATCAGAAGAGCTGGTGTTAATGACTACTTTAGTTAGTTCTATCTCAATGCATCAGGCTATTAACTGTGCCTGTTCCTCCAGTTGAGGTGAAGATTAGGTAGCCATCTGGGAAAGGGCAGCTGGTAAGCTTTTTGCTACTGCCTCCATTGCACAGTATTGCTTATCTGCAAGGAAGGTGAAGTACAGAGAAAATCATGGGGTGTGTGTATTTAAGTGGTGGTCATACTGAGATGTTTCATATACGTTTATTCTGAATTGTGTCTGGAGATCTGAGATTACAGATGTCACTGCATTTGTTTTGTAGATACAGTACGACCAGTTTGTCTGCCTAATCCAGGAATGATGTTCCAGCCTAATCAGCAGTGCTGGATATCTGGATGGGGAGCAGAATACCAAGGAGGTAAAGAGTGGCTCTGGAATATGTTGATCTTCTACATAAACCAGTCCTCTTCAGTCTACAGATAACCGTTGCGTCGGCTGATAGGGCAGTTTAGGGCAGACCTGTTGAAGGGTTATTTTTTTTCACTCATTTTACAGCCACTAGTATTTGCATAGGGCATCTTGTCTCAAAGCAAGTTGTGATGCGTTTCATTGAGCAGGCTGCAAAGGAGCCTCAGATCAATACCAGGAGCCAGAAATATTCACACAAGAAACAGTTCTGTTTCCCTGCTAGCAAGGCCACCTCTTCTGTACCAAAGTTTGCTGTATGTCAAACCAGTCCTCTGTGGACATGGAAAAGGGCAGGAGCCTGTCCTTTCCACCATCTCAACCTAAAATAGCATGATGCAAGCAACTTTTTAAGAAGTGAAAAGGAAACAGGGGAAAAGTTTATTTCAGTATGAGAAGGTACTGGGCAGGGAGGGGGCTGGTGGGGACACTAGACCCTGAATATGGGAATTACTGACAGCTTGTGGTGGACCATGAAACTGGGGAGGTCCTCTTCACCCCTTGCAGACTTCATGTGCTTTTAATAGCACATGGTAGATAATACAGTTGACTTGAGGCTGGAGTAGGCAGGTAGGTGTCCACTGGCAGCAAAGCAGGATAAGTCACTCGTGTCTTGGAGGGGAGTTTTAACGTCACAGCTGTCTCTGTGATGATCAGTACATCTGAAGTCTCCATCCCGGTGTTTCTTGTAAGCTTATTTCATCTTGAATGGTGTTAGCTGCTGGGATTTGTAACAGCAATGTAATATGATGCTTGTTCTAATTTTATCTTTGTATGTGTGTTTTTGTGCATGTTTCAATTTTAGGTAAAACATCAAATAACTTGAATTACGTTATGGTGCCCTTAATAGAACATGCTAGATGTAATTCTGTCTATATCTATAATGGCATGATTTTGCCTACAATGATCTGTGCTGGATATCTAGGAGGAGGATATGACTCCTGTCAGGTAATTAATCCTAATTATCGCCTAATAATGATGTGATTTCTTTTTGAGGTCTTACTAATAGGTATTTAAAATAATTTATTAATTACAAGCAGATTCTTATGGAAAAAAAAAATCAAAAATTAACTAACATTTCAGTTGGGGTTCTAGTTCCTTTTGTGGTGCATCCCTTTAAAAAGGGAGAGCTGTTGTTTCATGTTCTGAATGGCTGCCAGTGCTGAGTTCTTGCTAAATACCCAGAGAGGGTGAGGCAGTCCTTCTTAATGCCTCAAGGATATTTTGTTATCTGGCACTTGAATGAATGCTCTTCATAATCACAGAGCTACCCTAGCATTATGCCTGTGGACAGGAAAGCCAATAATGCCCATCTCATTTAGTGCTTTGGGTAAACAATTTTCATCCCGCTTGTAAGCGGTCATCATTTAATACTGCAATTGCTATCACATTTTAGTGTCTGCCTTAAAATGGTGCTTAGTTTTTTGAAACTTAACCTTTATTCCTGAAGTGAAATGGATTGTGTCTTTCCCGGTGGCCAGGTCACTAATAATGTGCTTGTATTTTGTGCAGGGTGACAGTGGAGGTCCGCTAGTAACTAACAAAAACTCCGTGTGGTGGCTGGTTGGAGATACCAGCTGGGGAACTGGCTGTGCTAGTCCCAATAGACCTGGAGTGTATGGGAATATGACTGTATTTACAGACTGGATTTATAAAAATATGCAGGTAAAAGATTTGGGTGTCTTTAACTTCAAATATCCCAACTCCTGAAACTTGATTTTTATTTATAAGAATAAATGTTACTTGTCTGCTAGTGAAGCTATTCTGTTGAGAAGCATCTAAGAAATGGATAAGATAGTCCGTCAGCATAACTTGAACTTTTTTTTTTTTTTAAACAGGCAAACAGATGACAACGCTGTCTGTTCTTCTTGCTGGCTGATGTTTTTGAGAAAAATAGTAAATGAAAACATGGGTGCCTGTGATATTTATTCACTTTGCAAATGATTTTTTTTTCCCTCTTTGAATTTTCTTTTTAAAAATAACATGAAGGATTGCACACTCGGTTCTGTGCTGGCTACAGTGACTGATCTTAATCAGTGAAGGATTATTACAATGAGCACCTTTCTTCTTTTTGTGGTGCCTGGCAGAATGTCATTCTGCCAGCTGCGTGCTGAAATATCTCTCTTTAGTTGAGTAACTTTTTTTACTTGATAATCAGGCACAGGCTTATAATGGCAATTTAAATCACAATTTAAGATTTTCGTAGAAGGATGCTGAGACAGTTGGTTTAGTAGTATTTTAAATTAAATGTTAAGTAATGTGAATGTTGAATCTCTGAGCTGCTGGTTGGCAATTTAAAAAGAAATTAATGTTTTTTTGGTATATATGATGGAAAGTTTTCATGCACTATGGTAGAGGCACAGAAAAAAAACCAAAACCACAAAGCTGTATATTCAGGTAGTTAAAAATCCTCAGGATCTCAATGCAGTAGTTATCCAAATCAGATTGTTCAAAGGGAGACCAGTCTGACTGTCTCAGTAAATAAAAGTGCTGTTCTGCCATATATACTGCTCTGAACCCAGAAAGAGCAAGACCTGCCATCACTCCTGTTACAGGCTACAGAGAGGGGTGCTCCGGAGCTGTAGCAGGAAGCTGTGAGCTGCACATATCGAGGCTGACTCAAACTCTCCCCACTGTGAAAGGCAAAGTTTTCCAGTAAGGCTGTGTTACAAGAGATGGACCTCTGACTGCAGACACTTGTACAGAGGATGGATGTTTTATACAAAGAAAGACAAATATGTGTTTCTGTGTAAACAGATGAACTACCTCATTCACCAAATTTGGCTTTTAATTCCTTAGAACTCTCCTTTATGTACTTGCATACATGTTTTTAGCAAAATGTAATTGATATCAGAGTGCCACCTCAACTAGGATTTTGAAAATAATTTATGATCATAATACAGAGGATCAAAAAGCCATACCATGTCACTTTTTTTAAGAAGGATAAATCTTTTGAATGAAACAACTTTTACTAGTCTTGTTTTCTTTTTTGGTACTGAAATGCAATCTTCCATGTAAACACTACACCAAATAAATGTTTTGTTTTGTTTTTCAAATGGCTTTCCTTAGTAGTCATTATATCTGTGTGCTTGAATTATTATTATTTTTAAGTGGTCGCTGGATTCAGTGCCTGAAGTGCTTTGAGAATCAGATTTAAAAAAAAAAAAAAGACAACGCCAACAATAGCAACAACAACAAAAAAAAAAAAAAAACAAAGTGAAAGAAAAAATACAGGAGGGTGATCCAAGAAATTCTTTTAATTCCAGTATTTTAGGTGCTTGAACAAACACCGGGAAAGAGAGATAAATGTCCAGAAATGTTGGTTTTCTTTAGTGGTTAGATCTGATGAAATCAGTGACTTGTGAAATTGAATTAAATGAGGAAGCTTAGCCTAAAGGCAGTGCATTGAGAAAGTCCCACCCTATTTTGTTACTACATCTCATACTGCCTGAAGCAATGTGACCTGCCTCTCTAGGTGTGAGACAGGGTGTTCTCAATAGCCCATGTGCATTGAGTGCACCTTGGGGGATACCATGAAATAGCCAACAAGTTTGAAGTACTTCCAAAATAGAAATGAAAAGTGGTATCAGGCTTTTATATGGCTTCTGACCTGCAGCACTGCAAGTCAATACCAGCAAAACAACATACTGAAATGGGGAAAACTGGTACAAGCACATATTTTTTTCAGCTGAATGCAGACATTACCCTTGCTACACAAAGCATAGCTTTGCCCATTAAAATAATTCCTCCATATGAAAGATGTCATGAATATGGCATGCAGTGTTATATTTTGGACTGGCTTCTGTGCAATGCAAGAGCTTTTGGAAAGGTTCTCATTACTTTGGGGAGGAGAAGGGCAGTAAGCCACATGCTGAAACACTCTTCTAGTGTTTAACATCCTGGGTGGTTTAATCCCTTTTGGATATTCAAATTCTGCAATCTGTTGAACAGCCCATCAGCTCCAAAATTTCAGGTGATGCTCCAGGCACCCAAAAGAGACTCTCAGCCTTTCACTACAAATTGGAGAACTGAAAGAAGGGGATCAAAGCCAGCAACATCCTGTGGGTGTACTGAGGTTCTGAAGTTAGCTTCCTTTTCCCTCTAGGCTGGAACTGTTTCCTACTCTTGGTTTCCCCCCCCCCCCCCCCCCCCCCCACTCCCTGGGCTGGGACTTGACAGTGGTGAAATCCTGCAGAGTCGTCTTTCTGGTGATGGCAGGAAAGGGGAAGGAGGGGATTGCTAGGGTTGTGCAGCAAATTTCATTAAGTAACGCTGGCTAGATAATTTGATTTCTACAGTTTGTGAGTTATACAGCTGAAAGCCCTCATCCTCATTTAAAGAAAAAAACCAAACAAACCAAAATTACAGTTCTTAGAGCTCTAGCCTTTTAATAATGATTTCAGTGATTATACGGAGTTCAAACTAGGATAACATTGATTTAATAACAACTTCCCCAGTGACTGAGAGAAGTGTTAAAGGTCTGTGCTGATGTCACATTCTTGTGGAATTTTATGAATAAGAATACCAGCAAACAGAAATAGAACAATAAAAATGAAGAAATCTATGAGGTGAAATCTCTCAGGTACTGGCAGGCCTTGGTGAGACGATCAACTCGCCGACTAAGGTAATTCCTATGTTTAGCAGCTTCACTGTCTTCCTGAAGGAAATGGTTTAATTTGTCTTTTTCTTGCAAAAGATGTAACATTGTGGTCTGTAGGATATCCCCGAAGTCATGAACAGCAGAAGATAGGATGATCAGAGGTATTTGATTGGAGAGGCGTTTACTTGCTGCCTGCAAGAAGGAAAAAAAAGTCAGAAGACTCGTTTCCCAAAAAGAAGTAAAAAAGGAAGGAGCTGTAGGTAACACACACATTTTTAGTATTGTATTGCATTTCTGTTCAAGAAGTGAATACTTCTAGGAACTAAAAAGTTTGCCATTAATCTTTTTTGTGCCTGGAGATCTAAAAATTGATCGGGTGTTGTATCAGGTGTTGCTTTTTTCCCTCGCCAACCTAAACCAAAGACAGGCTGTTCATTGTTTAACTGCTAGCTATCATTGGTGAGAGTTATACGAGGATATACCTGATTAATAGCTCTTGTAAACAATTTGTGGCATCAAAACCATGTTGTCTGAACACTACTAATCTGCTATGGTACAGTAAAACAGTAGTTTTTCCCAAAGGTTGTAAATTCCTGTATTTAGATGGTATTTCTGATATAGTTGTCCTTTTTGTGTAAGACAGCTTTGGAGTAACCTTTAGCCTTAAGGGAAAAAATCTGCAGCAACAGTGAGACCAGGCTGTGCCCATATATTGATAGCTCTATGAGATAAATTTCTACTTAGCCTGACTGTCTGGTCTAGTTATTTATGCAAATTGAAACAGATTGACCTAAAGAGCTTTTGGGGCCCTTGCCCCAGATGCATTCATAGGACCTGGGGACTTGGCTGGTGCTCTTGAGCAAAAGATTAAAATCTCCAAGGCTGAGAGTGAGCTGCCTCCAGCGCTGCAATTGAGAGAAGTGCATCTTTCTTTTTGTGGCACCTGACTTGAAAATGGCAATGGGAAGACCAGGTAGGGGCAAATTTGATTTTTAAGTCCTATAGGGTTTAGGCAGCCCGTTCCCAGAGAAGTCTAAGGTTTTTCTCACTTTACGTACCTCTGGACCTCAGTGGCTGCAAATTGTTTTTGTACAAGGATGGAGTTGAGCTCAAGCTGAAAAATAACTTAAGACTGGATGTTCAGTTCTTCTTTCTAGTTTGCAAAGATCAGGTCAACAGCAAACAATTCAGCTGACTTGGCTAAAGCACTTACTGAGCCTATGCATTCTCTAAGCACTACTGACCATGGTGAGAGAGAGCCTGGGTGCTTTAAATATGTTTTTCTGGAGCCATACCCAGAATCCTGATAGTTTTGCCATAGGTGACACAGATTTCATGCATGACATTTTCAAAGGGCATGCAAACTTAAGATCTTCCATCTCATTCAAGGTGTACTTGCCCTTTGCTAAGTCCCATGGAGGTACGATGCCCTGGCATTTGTCATTGCTGAAACCGGTTCTTAGGACATTTACAAAAATGGGTAACTACCCTAAGCTGTTTGTCTTAGAGCAGAGAGTAGAGCGAGGTGGGAGGGAAGAGCTCATGCAGTTCTGCCTTTGTCTCTTGTTCTCTGAGAGTCAATGGTTTTCTCTCCAACAGTCTGAGCAATCTGAACATTTAATCACAGAATTTTGGCAAGACCTTGCTATTGAAATTCAAGGTGAGCTGCTGCCTACTTTACTGCCTTACTGATATTGAACTTGTTGCTTCCGAGGGAGTTTTATGAAACAAAGATCAAAAGAAAATCCTGATACTCTGTTCTCTTTAATCTCTTTCTTTAACAAGATCCTTTGTTAAAACATCCCATTTGTCTTCAGAGACTTAGCTTCTGTGGGGCTATATGCAATACAGCACACACACTCTGATCTCTACAGATAGCTGAATATATTTTAACATTTCATTATCGCTCCTCCTGCTGCATAAGCTTAGGATGTGACTGCAAGTCACTGACACCACTTTCTGCTGACATCAGGAATATGCAGAGAGGCTCGAGGCTGACCTAAGCTGACCTAAGTTCTCAGATGTGGGCCCAGACACCAACGTGCTGCACATGATATTGTTAAGCTTGTGGAAACTAGTGTTATTTGAAAACCATGAAATGAATTTGCAG